ACGCCGGTCATGTTGGCGTAACCCCGTGTCGAAATACTGCAGTGTGAGGGCCTGAGGCCGGGGAGGTTGTGCCGGCATGCCTGTAGCGCCGTGTCTCCTGCCACAAGAAAGCCAAACGCGAGGAGCTGGCAAAGCCTGGTCTTTGCGAGGGCCTCCGAGGGGGAGGTGACCCCAGATGCCGTTAGCGTTGAAGTGCCTTCAGAGGTCCGATGGGACAGAAGCTTCGGCTGCGTGATCTGTGGTTGGTTTTTTCCGTTGTTGTGGGGTGTTTGCTCTCATCCTGAAAAGCTCCTGTGTTGTTCCTTTCCAGATTGCGCTTGCCAGTTTCTACGAGGACGGGGGAGACGAGGACATTCTGACCCTTCCCCAGCCGACGCCCAGCTCTATATCCAGAGGCACTGCAGCCAGGTGAGCAGGCAGCTTCCGCTCAGGCCGCTCTCTTTATCGGCGGCTTCTCAACCCGACAGTGACAACTATTTATGCAGAAACGCAAGCTGTACCTGAAGCATTGATGTAATTTTCAGGAGAAATAGCTCTGTGTTTAGATCTGCTGCACCTCATATGGCTCTAGAAACTGTGAAAACATCAGCGTTTGTACATCGCAAGCGCAGGAGTTATTGCACAGCTAATCCAAAGATCGGTTAGGACAGCCTGCCTCTTTGCTCGGGAGAAACGTGATTTGTCGTGTGAGGTTAGAAGACAGTTGGTTGGTGACGCTTTCATCGGAGCAGATTGACATCAGGAAAGCTACTTTCTAATTTTGCATGACGCCTGATCGGGTAAATTTCACTGAATCCCAGCGTGGCAGGGGTTGGCAGGGACCTCTGGGGTCACCCAGCCCAACCCCCCCAACCCCCTGCCCAAGCAGGGTCACCCAGAGCAGGCTGCACAGCACCGCGGCCAGGCGGGGCTGGAATATCTCCAGAGAAGGAGACTCCACAGCCTCCCTGGGCAGCCTGGGCCAGGGCTCCATCACCCTCAGAGGGAAGAAGTTCTTCCTCGGGTTCAGCTGGAGCTTCCTCTGCTTCAGTTTGTGCCCGTTGCCCCTTGTCCTGTCGCTGGGCACCACTGGAAAGAGTCCGGCCCCGTCCTCCTGACCCCCACCCTGCAGATATTTAGAGGCATTTCTAAGGTCCCCTCTCAGCTTTCTCTTTTCCAGGCTAAAAATTTGATCATTTTGCAAGAATTTAATTTTGCCTTACCAAATCCCTGTGCAGTAGGGAAACACTATCCAGTTTTAAAGAGAAGGGTTTACAGGCTGTGTCTTGAAGGAAAGGTGCTCTCAGTTCAGGCTTTGGTGAATAAAGTCCGTACTGCGGAAGAACCCTGTTTCAGTTTGGGTCGCAGGTAGCAGCCTCCGCAGAAACAGCAAGAGGGGAAGGACGGGGAGGCTGGGCTGGGTACCGTTGCTCGGGCAGGTTTGGAAGCAGCTCTTTGAAAGAGCCAACAAGATCCAGTGTGCGAGCGAGGAAGCGACTGAAGACTCACGGCTTTTGCTGTGTCTGCAGCCGCCGTCTGAGCCTCCGCCAGCGCGCCCGCCCTGGCTGTCTGGGGGGTGGTTGGCAGAGAGGTCCACAAGCTGGGTTCGCTGCTCGGTTACACCAGCACTGACCTGTCACTTCGCAGGGTCATGGATCAGGCCCTAAAAGTAGAACAGAGTCAGCCTAACTGCTGTGTTCGGGAGCTTCTGCTTGGATGGTTGGAATGTGTCATGAGGGTGACGTCCTTCTCCGATTGCCTTTTGCAGTGACCATAGAGTAACATCGTTTAGAGATCTCGTCCATGCGCAGGAGGATGATGATGAAGAGGAGGAGGGACAGCGGTAAGTTTTCTGTTAAAAGACTTAAAACCTGTGTGTGTGTCGCTGCCCTTTTGTGATGGCTTGCCACTTGTCCACAGGTTGTTTTAAAAAGCAGATTTAAGTCGATAGAAAATTCCTGTAGTCAAAAACCTCCAGTTTGGTGTGGAAAGGTTGGTCAGTGCAAAGTCTGTGCGCAAGCACGCGCTCAGCAGTGCTGTGTAAACACCGGTTTTCATCGCTGAATCGTGCTGTGGAGAGAAAGCCTGAGGCAGGTTGTGGAAGCCCTAGGTAGAGAATAGAAAAAGGCCCAGATCGTCAAGTTTGTGTCTGTAGAGAACGGAAATGTGGGAATAATGCAGGGATTGGTTTTCTTTCTGCTTGCTTTTTTGTTTTGTGGTTGGTTTTTTTTCTTTTGGTTGGGGTTTTTGGGTGGTGGTGTTTTTTTTTGAAGTCCTTTTTTTTTTTGAAGGGTAATGTAGGTCCCCTTTCCAGTGGGAACATGGAGTATTAGTGGGAAAGTCATTTACGTTGTCAGCTGTAAGCAGTTAAATACCCTTAAGGTTAACAGGCAAGGTAAATTGAATGGAACTGATGTGTCTCAAGGTGCCTCAGTGTAGGTATGCTGCATGGTCTTCTGCAGGCAGATGTGAGCTTGCTCTGTATGGGTCATGAGCCATCTGGAAGCTAATGAACCCAATCTTCCAGAAGTGCTTAATTGCACTTCACTGACTGTGCAGTCAGTGCTTCCAGCTCAGATCCGTCCTGTGACCTTTCGGTGTGGCGTGAGCGTGGGCCTTCCCTCAAAACACCCGCCAGACGTTGCCCATCGTCCGTCTGCCGGGCCAGAGACTTGCTGGCAGTCTTGTTCAGCCTGGTGACACAGCTGGTACCAGCGTTTGAAACTGAGCCTTGCCAGTCTGGACCATTTCTCTTGTGAGGTCTGAGAGAGTTACTATCACTTGATTGCGTTGATCAATGGATAATTTTTACAGTGACTGACCTAAAACCAAAGTCTCTGCAGCGCAGGAACTTGTAGGTGGCTACAGTAGAGATACACTGGTAGTAGCTAATACTTGTAGCTCCAAGCTGTTTCGTTAGGTCGTACAAAAACAAACTGAATCCTGGTGTAAAGCTGCTGGGTCCTGTCACATGTGTCTCCGGGGGAAGCAGCGCTCCAGTCTTACCAGAAGCCGTGTGCTTTCTGTTAGGTTTTATGCCGGCGGCTCAGAGAGGAGCGGACAGCAGATCGTTGGTCCTCCGAGGAAGAAGAGTCCCAATGAGCTGGTGGAGGATCTGTTCAAAGGAGCAAAGGAGCACGGTGCGGTGGCGGTTGATCGGACGGCCAAGAGCGGTGGCGAGACTAGCAAGCCTAAGGTGAGGAGTGACGAGTTCTTCCTCCTTCTGTTCCCTGTCTCGGTTGTCACCTGTGTGTGGCTCCCACCGTGCCAGCTGTTTGGTACTGTGGAGTCCAGAATGATCTCAAAAGGACAGCGAAGTCTGGACTCCTTCCTTGGTGCAGCTTTAGTTCGTGTGTCACAGTGGCAAGAAAAGCCACTTTCTGGTGCCGTATTTGTTAACTTGTTCGTGCTGGTGACTGCGCCTGCAGCACAACAGATGTTGCTGACGCCACGAAGCCCCCCTGTTCGTCCGTAACGGCGTTGGGGAAAGGGAGGCAAGCTGCCTTGGGTTGGTGTCATGCCGTAACCTCTTTGCCTGCCCCTCTCTCTTACAGCCTTTCGCAGGGGGAGGGTATCGCCTCGGGGCTACTCCAGAGGAGGAGTCTGCCTATGTGGCAGGAGAGAGGAGACAGAACTCTGCTCAGGATGTGAGTATCTCTGTTCTGTTTTGTAGATGTCACCCGAGGGATTTCTCTGCTATAGCTGCACAGCTTGTGAGCTCAGAGTTATAAAACTTGATAGAAATTCAAGAGGACAGAAGTATGGTAAATCCTGCTTCTCGTGGGATTTCTGGTTAGAAAATTATAGATGCCTGGGTCTTGGGTAAGCAGTTTCCTGATGAACTTTTAATTAAGAATCTGAGTGTGCCTTAGAAGTGCGGATTGTGAGAAACAGGGTGCAAAGAGCCCTGGGCGATTACCGCTTCTTTATCCGTTGAAGAGATGTGGAGCTAACAGCATCAATGCAAGATCCTCTCGTGCTTGCTTTGTGAGCAAATACCCTTCTAGGCCTTGGTGCGGGCTTGGTTTGGGCTCCTTGCCTAGCACACTCTTGGCTCTTCAGCCGTACTTATCAAAAAGGCGTCTGCGGTGCCACCTTCTAGGAACTGATGCATGACCATTACCTCGTCAGTGCCGCGGGTTTTTTCCCCTCAACCCAGAGGAACCTGGCTGGAATGTTTTCCAACCCCTTGAAATTCCTCTGGCAGTCAGGAACTTTTCACTTTGCGTCCAGTTGTTGTTCTTCCTAAGGTGCTTCAGTGAGGCTGACTGTTGTTCGGGGGCTGCTGCAGGTGCATGTTGTGCTGAAGCTCTGGAAGAGTGGATTCAGCCTGGACAGCGGAGAGCTGAGGAGCTACCAGGATCCGTCCAATGCCCAGTTCCTTGATGATATCCGCAGGGGGTATGTAGCAGAGGGGAGAGAAAGAATAGCTGTTTTCTGAAACACAAACATTGTGGGATTCAGGATGCTGCATCAGTGGCACATTTCACCTGAGCTTTCTTACAAGAGCTAGATTCTTAATATGGAAACGATGGGAGGGCAGATGTGAACATTTACTTCAGATAAATGGGATGTGGCCTTGGTTTGCGTGGGGCCTTGAAGGTTTGAAGTGAACAAATAGACTTTCATATTTGGGCTGAGAATTTCTAATGCATCACGTCAGTCCAGGTGAGGGTCAGGGAAAAGCAACCTTTAATTTGTGGCTGTTAGTGGGGAGGTGTGCATCTGCCCTGTTAATTAAGCAAGAGCTCACTGCGATTCCTGAAATTCCAGAGGTCTGTGGCCGGCACTTTTTCTCCACACTTTCCTAACTTGCTTCTTCAGGCAGCTGCCTTAGGATGCTCTCTTTGCAGGGAAGTCCCAGCAGAGCTGCGCAGGTTAGCACGAGGCGGGCAAGTGAACCTGGATATGGAGGATCACCGCGATGAGGAGTATGTGAAACCTAAAAGTGTCTTCAAAGCTTTTACTGGAGAAGGACAGAAGCTGGGCAGGTGAGGAGACGGCAGTGCTGCTTTGCTACGCGTGTGATGTGAGACGGTCACTCGAGAGTTTTGCTAGGTTGAGCCTTTTGATTCATCTTTCTGAAGAAAAGGCACTCGGTGCTTGTGGTGTGGGAGCTGTTCCTCTAGGAGAGGAGGTGAGGCTTGCTGGCCTGTCTCGAGAGATGGCTCAGCCTGTTGGTGGCAGGAGGCGGATCCCTGCTTTGGAACCACAGAATCACAGAATAGTAGAGGTTGGAAGGGACCTCTGTGGGTCACCCAGTCCAACCCCCTGCCGAAGCAGGGTCACCCAGAGCAGGCTGCACAGGACCTTGTCCAGGTGGGTCTTGAATATCTCCAGAGAAGGAGACTCCACAACCTCCCTGGGCAGCCTGTTCCAGTGCTCCGTCACCCTCAGAGGGAAGAAGTTCTTCCTCATGTTCAGACGGAACTTCCTGTGCCTCAGTTTGTGCCCATTGCCCCTTGTCCTGTCACTGGGCACCACTGAAAAGAGCTTGGCCCCATCCTCCTGACACCCACCCTTCAGATATTTGTAGGCATTTCTAAGGTCCCCTCGCAGCCTTCTCTTCTTCAGGCTGAACAAGCCCAGCTCCCTCAGCCTCTCCTCGTAGGGGAAAACCACCACGGAATGTCACGCAGGAGCGGTGTGCCCAGGTTACCCTGCCCTGTTCTTGTGGGGGTGTGAAGACCCATGTCGTGGCGCTCCGAAGGGAGGTGGTAGGGGGGAAGTTACAGACAACTGCCTGCTGACTAGCTGACTCCTAAGTTCTCGCTTCCAGCTTGCGTTGGTGTCTCTTGGCCAGGAAGCCTGGTAGTTGGGCGCAGCGGGCGGTGAGCTCGCTGCCTGACTCCGGCACCCTGCAGCCAGGCGGGGCGTTGGGTTTTTAACAGCTCTCCCTGCGTCTCCCTGTTCTCAGCACTGCGCCCCAGGTGATGGGCACCAGCTCGCCAGCCCAGCAGGCAGAGAATGAAGCCAAAGCCAGTTCTGCCATCGCTATTGATGAGTCAGAGCCCATCACCAACATCCAAATCCGGCTCGCTGACGGTGGGCGACTGGTCCAGAAGTTTAACCACAACCACAGGTACAAATTCAACAGGAAACACGGGTTACTAACTGGGAGGGCCCGAGTGACACTGCAGACTGTGCACAGATGGAGCAGACGTTAAAATCCTGGCTAGCCTGCTCAAGGGAGCTCTGGGGTTGCTCTGTATAGGTGAAGAGGAATAAAATTATTGTGGGGTTGTAAGGCAGTCGTTAACTGTTGGAAGGATAGGATTTGCTTTCTGGATAGTGATACCTATTTTACATATATATATATATAGACAGTGACATCTCTCCTGAAGTCCTTCTCACTTCCCTGGTCTCGGAGAGTGTGGCAGTTTGTTTATACTCACTCCTCCAGTTTCTGTAAGAGAATCAAGCATGATGCAAAAAGTTACAAAAACCTTCTTCTGCGAGCGGGTGCATGAAATAGATCCAGTGTCGCTGTTGTGGCCGCTTCTGGGAGCGGAGATCATCTAGATGACACCATGTGTGATGAGCTCAGTCACTGACGACAGCTACTGCCAAGCAGTTTGTTAATCTGCTCATCCTGAAGGGTTCAGAAGCTCTCAATTCCAAACAGCCGCCTGATAACACAGATGTTCCAGTTGGGCAGTGTGAAAGAACATTGAGCTGGGAGTCTTTAACCTGTAAAGCAGCTTGTGTTACTTCACTAAATGGGAGCCTACGGGGGAGTAGCTTAGATCAGAATTGTCTGGCTGTGGCCTCTGCTGGTAGCTGAAGAGCAAGAGCAGCGGCTGCAGGGTTGCATGCTCTGGAAAGGGTCACTTTTGGCTGTTGCCACGCGCTTTTACAGGCTGTTCAGTAACAGGCTCACCTTGCGTGTTTGATCCCTTGGCACAGGATCCGTGACATCCGGCTCTTCATAGTAGATGCTCGGCCAGCGATGGCTGCCACCAGCTTCGTCCTCATGACCACCTTCCCAAATAAAGAGCTGACTGATGAGAACCAAACCCTGAAGGAAGCCAACCTGCTCAACGCGGTCATTGTTCAGCGGTTGACATAAAGGAGCCCACCTCTCGCCACACGCCTGCCCGCAGTGCGCATGTGTCGTCTCGCCCTGTGCGTGCACCTCTGCCGTGCCACACAGGCTCACATCTGCTCGTAGCTCTGGGTTCTTAGGTCTTGGTTGGACTTTTTTCTCTTTAGTTGCATTTCCCATGGGGTGGTTGTTTTGGTTTTTTTTTTTTTGGTGGTGATGATCAGTGGACTTTAAAATAAATAAACGAAATGAATCCGTTTTGAAAGGAGCTGCAGCCTATTGTGCCACAGATTCTCGCACGAGAGTTCAGTTACCTTTGTGGATTGTGTTACTGCGCTCTTTGGAGGGGAGGAAGAGGAGGGGGAGGGCAGCTCCCAGGGAGCAGTTTCTGTCCATGCCAATTGACTGCTCGTCACAATCTTTTTGCTCTCCCCTCTCCTCCAGGGACTGCTGCAAAGTACTCCCTTTATTGTCACACATTAAATATCAACTATACTAGAATGGGTGAGCCGGTTGTCAGGATCGTGGTTATGCTACTGCAGAAGCCTTGGGGGGGGAAGTCTTGGTGAAAGCTGTTGCTCAGTGTGGGGAAAACTCTTGGCGTGTGTGTGTGCGGGTGCAAGGTTTAACGCTTCTGGGTCTTTTCTGGAGAGAAAGTCCTGACTTTCCTTCCCTCAGGAGAACTCTTAGGGGTGTTCATTGCAGTACCCACCAGCTCTGCCAGCGCTTTCTCCGGCAGTGCAGACTGACTGCAGTTCTGATTTGCTGTGTTGCATTTCTCCGAGAAACCCAACTCGCTGCTGACTTTTTCTTTCCAGGAAGGTACAAAGCTGAATCAGCTCGAAGTGACTGTAAGTAAAAGGCAAACAGAATTTATCTTCCTGGAAAGCAAGTTTCGTTTTAAGAGATGAATTAGTGAGATGATGGAAACAGCTCAGGTGGAAAAACTGAAGGCTGTAGTACCCTTTGATTTATTTCCTCTCCTCTGCTGAGGACTCACATAGCTGAACACCTGGAATTCTCCAGCTTTGGTCTGTTCTGGCATTTGTGATTAGGGCTCAGGTCTCTGTATCTTTCTTTCCTTTGAACAGAATCCCACGTGTGAGTTCGTTACGCCTAGGCATGAGGGACTGGCAGTGCTGGTGTGGCATCAGGCGTAGGAGTTGCCATCTACTGCTGTGCCACCGCGCTTTGCACCGACCCGCAGCACGCTTGCTGTCCTAGCGCTGGGCTTCGGGGCAGGACGTGGAGCTGTGCCGAGCCGTGGGCCTCCAGCTAACCGGGAGCTGCGCCGCAGCCGGCCGGGGGCCGGGGGCTGGATCGCTGCCGTGCGAAGGGCTGGAGCGTGCCGTCCGCTTTCTGCCGTAGTCACGCTGGGGACTGCGTTCTAAGTCCACCTCCTCAGCGCTCTGAAGCTTCCAGGTCCTCACCTCGGAGCAAACTCTAGGGACGAGAGGCGCCGGCTCCGGGAGGGCCAGCAGGTTGGGCAGGTTCAGCACGAGAAACTCGCTTGGCTGCCTGTGTTAATACAAAACTGCAGGAGCAGGTAGCAGACCTTAGCAAGGGCATTCTTACAACAGTTTCTCAACTGAGAGCCAAATTAGCTTACATTTTTCATTACTAAATGGATATATAATGTGCGTAACAGCAAATTTGTAAATTATTGTGAAAATTACCATTAAAAGCCCACAAAATAGGAAAACAGCGTTTGACCCTTTCTAATAACGATTACCATCTGTTCTCATATTTTGAATGATGGACATGTGGACGCCTGCTCTTACTGCTTTGGGTTGCACTGCGAGCTGGCGTTCCAGTGCTGAGCAGTCTTCAGTTCAACGAGATTAAAATCCTCAGCGGCATTTTTAACGATCTTTTCTGACAGGTGAAGTCGGGGTTTGCCTGCCTGCATCACGCAAAGTTGTGTGTTATGACCACTTAGTCATCTGTGAACCAGTGCAGAGAGAATTCAGAAAAGGGAGTTTCCCTGGGAGCTAAATATAGTCACAGCTGCCTGGTGGGAAATCGCTCATTTTTAGTTGTTCATCACAGGAGTTGTATCCTGATCTCACCCACAGGTGCCGTTTTGGGGACCTGGGACAGCATCTTCCAGAGTGCTGGCCAGGATGTGCCCTTAGAGCCAAAGTTTTTCTAACAGAGAGCACAAATCCTTTGTCTCCTGCTTCTGCCTTGGTGGCATCAGAGGGCTGAGGTGGTGGCTCGCTGGCGTCCGTGGCCTTTGGCTGGATGAGCTGGCTGTGGTGGTTCCCCCACGTTAAATGAGGGTTGGCAGCGAGACAGCAGCTCGTCTAGCTGCTGACCGCACGGATGTTGTCGCACAGATTCTGCTCACCGATGGAAGTTTCACATCCAGGTTTTTTCTCATCTCTCTCCTTGCCAGTGGGATGGAAAGGTGCTAAATTCAGAGGAGCTCCGGGCTCGGAGGCGCTTCTCTGCCAAGAAAAGCGAATTTTCTTTGCCAAGAAAAGCAGATTTTCCCCGGAGCCGGAGGGTGGCAGTGCTGCCGAGAAGCTGCTCTGCACCTCCAAGGCCCC